TTAAAAAAAAACAAAAACAAAAACAAAATAAAAACAACTGAGGTCAGAGACCAAAACCTAGAAAGATAGATGGGCTGGGAAGATGGTCAATATTTTGGCCCTGGCTCTCCAAGGTCAGTAAAGTTCCAAGGCGTTAAGATAACTGCTTTGACATCCTATAACTCAGTGAGTCGCTGACCTCCTGACCAAGGAGATTGTTGGACAACCGAGGAAGGAGTTTCAATAGTCTATAGTGTGCCCAAGGAGAGTCACTAAGAGAGATAAGTCTCCCAAGCTTTCACAGAAAGCAAATTGGTCAAGAAATGGCTGTGACTCATCCAAATGGCTGATACTAACTGGAGAACTGAGAGGTGCTATACATGGTTCCAAGGAAAATCCTAAGGAGACTTAACTGACCTTGATAGATAGCAAGAAATTAATTTTAATTAATACAGGTCTCACTGTAACTTGGTTGTCAACAACCAGCAGAAAAGTATAACCACAAGATGTATAAAACAATGCCATGGTAATATGCTAGCTATAAAAGAGACTCAAATCACTGATACCTTCTAACAGTTTCCAGCTACTCTGGTAACTGACTACTGTTGTAGGCTAATGAGCTGTGTATGGTGAAATTACTGAATGCAGGGATCTAAAATCCTTGGACTTGGAATCTTTAGCCTAAATGAGTAAGTTCACTCAGAATGGAAAGTGTTCAAGAAGGAGAAGCCCTTCACAAGGCCTTCACAAGGCCTTCCCTTGGCCAGGGATGCCTAGAGAAGAGTGGAGAAGAAAAGCCTTCCACAGAAAAGGTCTTCTGCAAAGTCCTCCAAACACAACTCCTCCCAACTTCAACTGACACCCATTGCTTGCAACTACAAAACAGAAAAGGGGGAGATGTGGGAAGTGGCTGAGCTGGAGATCAATCACACGTGCAGAGCTAGAGCAAGCTCAGCCCTAAGAATACAGAGCACCCAAGGAAAGCCAGGTAAACAAGTTGTTAAACAGAGGGAGGTTTCACCTGACATCAACCTGCTGACTATATAAATAAATGTGCTGTAGTTGTTGGGTGGTTCTTTTCTTCTACTAGAAGGGGCTCCACCTGACCCCAGCTTTCTGCATCCTGATTCTTGTCTCTGTTTCTTCATCCTCCACCATCCTCCTCTGGGAATTTTAAGAGCTGCAGTAGGTGTGGCAGAGGCTGAAGCAGGTCAGCCACATATTCAAGGCTGGCTTGAACCATATAGCAAGATCCTGTCTCAAACCACAGCAACAACAACAAAGATGTTAACCAGGCCTTCCATCTCTGCATCTATGCCTGGAACTAGAAGATTAACTCAGTGCACACTTAGGTGTGATGGGGAAACAACTTCCAACCTGTTAACTGTCAGATGTGCAAATATGTCGTCTCACAACATCGAGGAATAAAGTTGCAAACCAAAGGAGGAGGTTAAAGGTTTTATTGGAAAGAACAGCTTCTGGATTTCCAAGAAAGGTCCTGAGTTGGTAGCCACTGAGGCTCTTTGTTAAAGGTATTTTATAAGCAAAACCACAACGTGGGTCAAACTACAATCAACCTATAGCATTACAAGTATAGTTACTTAGATAACATTGATACAGCAGAGGAGCAAAGCATGTAGCAAGGGTATATGGTGAGCATCATTCGTCATTAACTTTAGCTCATTGTAACTTTTCATAGAACAAAGGCATTCCTGGAAAGGGATGGGAGTATGGGTCCAGACATTCTGGTCACCCACCTGTGTCTGATGCCTGTCTGGGCTCGCTGGACAATGTGGAGCTAACTACAGTATAATCTCCAGCTGTTCTTTATCTCTAGGGAGACTTGTAGGCCTGGATATTGATTCTCCATCATGAGGCTTGCCTAGCTATCTTCAGATCGGCCTTTAGCCACAAACTTGTTGTATCTCATCTTCTGCACTGACTCCCTCAAGGGCCCAATCCCTCTCTGCCTGTTAATTTCTAACTTAGCAGTCTATAATATAGGCCTTTTGGCCTAAGGTTTCAGTTCTGGGCATGTGATCTCTCCACTGGGCTGCTAACAACATGGTCTCCACCAGAAGAAGCAATCAGAGACAAAGGGAGAGAGAATCAGGGTAGAAGTGCAGTACTTTGTAATCACTGAAGAAGGGATATTCCATTACTTCTTGTTAGGTCCACTGATCGTAGACATCCACCCTGGCACACAGTCCGAAGGGGCAGCACAAAGTGAATGCCAGAAGCAAGCATGGGGCACCGTCTTGTGTGCCGGCTCCCAGTCTACTCTCTAACCCCGTAATTCCTGTCCCTCCCACATCAAAACACATTCTCTTCCTCCCAAGGACACAGAAGCCTCACACCATTACAGTATGGGTTCAAAAGTTCTAGATTTTATTAGCTACGTCTAGGGACAGATGAAAGACTCCAAGGGTATGATCTTCCCTCTCCCCTAGTGCTCGGGATTGAGCATAGCACGTGGCACATGCTAGGTAAGATGTCTGTCACTGAGCTACACCCCAAGCCTCGGGTAGAGCTCATAAACACAATTCCTGACCCACACGCCTCATAAGAGACAAGTTAGGGCCCCTCCGCATGCCTGGCACACCATCATGGGACAGATATAAAACTCCCATGGATATTCATGCACAAAGTTGTTGCTGGAAATGGAAGTCATACACAAGTTACTGATCCACAAGTGATTCTGAAATCCAGTTAGGCAAGTGTTGGAAGGACTGAGTCCTGCTCCTGCCAGGAAATGACTCCATGACACTCGACTCTGTCCTGGAAGACCTTGATTTCACTTTTGTAATTATTTTATATGCAAGGTAGCACAGCTTTACAGCCAAACATTTTTCTCACTTAGTTTCTTCCCAGTACCATTTTTGAGGATCAAAAATACTCTTTTTTCTTCTGGAAGAGTTCATGTTGACCACATTGCTACTGATGTGAATATTTTCTTACTTTATTTAGTTAATTTTAGAAACAAGGTCTTGCTGTCCAGTCTGGCCCTGAACTCCTGGGCTCAAATGATCTTGCCTTAGCAGTCCCTACTACCTGGTACTACATTTGGGTGACAACACACCCAGCGGGTGATGTAACTGTTTTTAAAACTTTGAGTCTTCTGTAAATCTGACCCTATGCCACTACCTTTTATACTTCTCAGGCCTAAACAAAGGATTTTTTTTTTTTTTCTTTTTGAGGTAGGGTCTCACTGTGCAGTTCAGGCTGAACTCACTTTGTAGCCCAGGCTGGCCTTGAACTCGTAACAATCCTCCTGCCTCAGCCTCCTACTGCTGGGATTACAGGTGTGCACCACCACACCCAGCTAAAAGAAAGGATTTTATAGCCATTCCTTTACTCTAAATTTTTTTTTTTTTTTTTTTTTGGTTTTTCTCCGGTACTGGGAACCGAACTCATGACCTTGCGCTTGCCAGGCAGGCGCTTTGCCGCTGAGCTAAATCCCCAGGCCCCTTTACTCTAAATTTTAAGTGATGTTTTCCTGAGTATGTCCTGGGTTTGATCTTTGCCCTGAAGTCATTTCTTAATTTTAGCATTATTTATCAAGTGGAGAAGCTGGCTTCTTCTAGGTGAGCCTGGTTCCTTTTTAACAATCTTTTCTTTAGTTTGTCCCTCTTATTTTACTGTAAGCACCAGGAAGAAAATAAGTAGCATTTTCACTACTCTGGTTGGAAATGTATTTTTAGGTAGACAAATTAACTCATTAGCTGCATTTTCCACTTTCCACATAAGTGTTGGTTTTTCTGAACTTTCTTCCACTGTTTAGCAAGTAATATTTTCCTCCAAGTCTTCCCTTGCAGCTTTATCAGCTAGCTTTTTATCTAGTTTCAAGGCACTTCAGGCTTCCACTAACACCCCTCAAAGCCCACCTCTTCCCCAAAGTCACTCCAACATTTTAGAATTTTGTTATAGCAGCCCCTCACTGATTGAGGGGCTCACCCAAATCCTTATTACATATTGCTGCATTACAAATGAACTCAAACCCCAGCTGCTCAAAACATTTACAATCTCACAAATCCTGATGGTTGAGAACCCTCCGGGAACATCTTAGGTGGTTCTAAGGGTTCTCATGAAGCTGTACTTAAGCTTGTTGGCCTGAATTGCAGTCTCTATGTTAGAAATGCTTATTTCTGGGTAAAGGATTATAGAAGGTTTTTTATTTAAAAGGTTTTGAAAGTATTTTATAATTTATAATTAGAGGAGTCAGGTGAACAAAAAGGAATGAGGTGAGCATGGGGGAAAATGAGTGACTCCAACAAAATTAATAGCCTTTTATACTCAGAGTTTGAACACGGTAATTATAGCGCATGAGTGTACCATGATAGGTTTATGAGCATGAAAAGGAAATGAGATAGTCTTAAAAAATGCACCAATGTTTTAATGCTTTCATTGTTTTCCACCTGGAACTTTGTAAATGTTGCAATTAATACAAGGTAAAATCATATACATGGCAGACATCAGTTAAGTAAACAGTAGTACAAACCTTTCAAAAGAACAGTAAAGCCTTAAAGAACTTGTTTTTAATTTACAAAAAATACTACAGAATAGGATTCCTACTTACATTATTCTGAAAGGTCTGAATGAATGGTAAGGTAGTCACTGTGTGGTTAAGAAGAATCAAAGAGGCAGAAACCAAAGTCCTATGATTTTGGGGTTTTTGGTCATTTTTTTCATGGGTTTGTTTTGTTTTTTGTCTTTTTGAGACAGGGTCTCACTATGCAGTTCAAGCTCGTCTTGAACCCACTTTGCAGCCCAGGCTGGCCTCAAACTCACAGTGAATCCTCCTGCCTCACCCTCCCAAGTGCTGGGATTACAGGTATGTCACTCACTCCGGGCCTTTGTTTTCTAATATACTGGGAAATGATGGCAGTTGGGAAGAAATATAAATTGAGAGCCTTCTTCTATACATTGTTACCCCATTCTTCTCTGGTATGAGATGGCACATCCCCAGACTTAACACGCAGAAAAGAACCCTTTTAAATTCTTTGCGTCAACGTATTCTTATGTGTATCATTTAAAATGTTTACTGTCTTATGCTCAGTCAAGGTACAGCATGATTTTAACATGAATCTATTATTGAACTATTAGGTCACAGTGTGACCGATTTTATGTAGGACTGGGAGTTCTTATTTCTTTATTAGTTGCTCTGTTCTTTCTCTTCCACAATGAGTAGAGTATCCGTAGTTATTCCTATGTCAGCCAGGGACCAGCCTCCCTCTACCTCTAGCAGTCTTCTGGGAAAGGAAGTGAAAAGACTGTATAGGGATGTGTGGTACCCAGTTTTCATCATCCAGGCAGATAAAACCTAGAAGATAAAAAGCTCATCGTTACCAAATGCTACACTCACTTGTGTTCCTTTGGATCACTCTAATACTTTTTACATTGTGAAATGGCCTACGAGTCATGAGGCAGAACTTCCACACCTTTCGAAGAAGCTCCATCTAGAGTTTAAAGGCAAATAATGTTCTCTACTTTGTGTATTCCATGCTGTGAGCAGCTCTCCTCTACCATGCCCCTATGCCATGCTGCCCTGCCTTAGAGTGAGCCACCTACGGACTGAAACCTCTACAAACTGTGAGCCAAAATAAACATCCCCTGCTTTAATTTGCAGGTCTCAGGTATTGTGTTTCAGTGACAAGAAAGTGACTAAGACAGACTTTGGTATCAGAGGAGTGGGACTGTTGTTGTGACACCACCTCACCATGTGATTCAGGAGCCCCTGGAATGGGGTCATGGAAGGAGTCTGCAAAGGTTTGGAGACGGCAGCTGACACAGCCCTAGAATGCTGCAAACTGAGCTCAGCGGGAGATTCGGGTCAGAGCGCAGAAGACCAGAATGCCAGCAGACACACAGATGGTAAAGATGGGTATGGTGTAATCCTCGCTCCTCCAGGGGAAGGAGGATCACAAGCTCAGGCCAGCCTGGTCAACTCAGCAAGACCCTGTTTCAAAATAAAAACAGTCTGGGATCTAGTTCAGTGGTAGAGCACATGCCCAGGATGGGCAAGGCCCTATGTTCAATTTCTAGTACTGCAAAAAAAAAAAAAGGAAATTATACTAAAATGAAGAACTTAGCACACTTTGAAGGCAAAGATTGCAACTCAGAAAAGCTGACCGTGCCTGCTTCTCCCAACCTCTGTAACAGAGTACATGCAGATGTCCTTTTAATCACACACCTGCGACCCCATATTCTGAGAGGCTAAAGCGAGAGAACCGCAAGTTTGAGCCCAGCCTGGGTGACTTAGTAAGACTGTGTTGCAAAATTTTAAAAAATAATAATATAAAAAGGGCTGTGAATGTAGCTCCATGCAAAAGGCCTTGGGTTGATCTTCACTAATGAAAAAACAAACAAACAAACAAAAAACCTCAAACTGAAAATTTTTTCACTTACCTGTGAACTATAAGACTTAAAAAACCTTCTCTTCAGGAGTCTCCCGTTTGGACATCGCAGAGCAACAGTAACTACCTGAGGAATAAAAATGTTCAGATCAGAATTCTAATTCAAACTGAAAACTCAATTCACCACTCTTTATATTATTCATTACGACTCCTAGGAAACATCTGTAATCATAAAACCTCACATGGAGATCTGTAGGAATTTAGCTCTGAAAGTAGTAGAGCAATATTAGGTCCAGATAAAGTTCACCTTAAACACAGAACTAATTCTTCCAGAATGGAAAACAAACATCATCTTACTGACTGAAGTCAGAAACAGCCTTCCAAAGAGGCCTCCAGAGACTAAGTGCACTGTCTGCCTGGTACCCTCCAGACTGCAGCTGGCTTCAAGAGCGGCCTACCAAGCCATGCGGGCCCAGTGCCACCTCACATTCTACAGACAACAAAAACGCCAGCTTGGAAAGCAACCCATAGCTACTCGTCCACTCTGCTACAGCAGGAGCACAGCATCTCCGTCTTTCCAAGCACGTGAGAGACAGAGCCAGAGTTGGTCCTGGGTGATGGAGCTCAGGAACACTCCATGCCTTAGAGCAGCTCTGGCTGTGTCGACTTCACACACTGAATTCCCCAATAACCTTCCCTATGATTTAAAAAAAAAAAAAAAAAAAAAGCCAGCTAAAAAGAGCTTGCAAACTGCTACAATACCAAGACAATTATAAAAAGAGAAGATAATGAATTTATTCTGAAATTCATTATATACCTGACAAAAAACCCTTTCTAAGGTCTAACATCATCAGCCAAGTGGGCATCATGCTACGTGTGAATGGGGTTAAAGAGCAGTACCTCCCTCGGGAAAGTCACGTTAGGAAATGTGCCCACCCCAGCTGGGGGTGCTCGGTGGTAGAGCACTTGCCTACCACTTGGGACCCTGAGCTCAGTGCCCAGCATCACACACACAAAAATTTCCACTAAGTAGTTCAGATATTTGATTTACATCCAAATCAGTATCATGTTCTCCCCATGATGAATGTAATCATTATGTACTGCAAAAATGTACTAATAAAATTTTTTCAAAAATCAGTGCAAGGTTGAACTTCATGAAAGATCTACTGCCCTACTATGATCTCTATTAAGGAAAAAATTCAGTAATAAAACAAATCATAAAATAACTGAATCACATACTTTTTAAAAGCCAACGTTGCTTGGCTGGAGAAACAATAACATTTTTACAGTGAGGTTTTATTTAAACTGTAATAAACTGACAGGAAAATTAAAGCCAATTGCCTGATGAGAAACTACAGTTAAAATTTAGTGAATATTTTTCATTATGATGACAGCAATACTTGAGAGAACTGAAATCCAGTAATTATTCTATGGGAAGGCTGGTTGTACAACTTCTCCTACTAATACTGACAGGCTAGTAGACTGACAAATAGCTAACATGTGGGGGGCTGCCATTCACAGTGGATAAAAATCAGAGTTCTAAGCCAAACGTGCTGGCACATGCTGGAACCCCAGCACTTGAGAGGCTGAGACAGGAGGACTGCCTGAGTTTGAGGACAGCCTAGACTATATAGAGTTCAAGGTCAGCCTGATCTACATAGTAAGACCCTGTCTCAAAAAAACCAGAAAACCAACAAAGAAAAATCAACAAAAAAAAACCAGTGTCCAAACAGACTGTTAAGTGAAATTTGATTTAAAATTAAAATTTGTTTAAGACAGCATCCCAATAAGGAAAATAGTTGCTGGGATATTATAACATTATATGATGATTTATAAAATTATTTTCAAATTATCTTAAATTCTAAAGTTACCGAACTTAAAAGCAGAACAGTAACACACAGTGACTATTTGATTGAGAGTTCTATATTCTCATTCATTATTTCCTCCTCTCAGACTGAAAAATCTATCTATCTCTATACTTTAGAACTGTGTAGATAACTACAATACTAACACTTAAATCAGGGGTACCACTTCAGTAAGTATTGCCTTAGTTTCCAGACCCGGCCCTCTACTATCAAGACTCCATGTTAGTCACTAGTTCCCTCATCTGTGAGTCTGCTCCTTGTCATGCACGCTTCCAGTAAGACAAGAATTTTCTCATATGGCTTACTATTATACAGTCACAGTTGCTTCAATACAGAAAAACATACTGATACAGAGATGATAGTGAAAGATTCATCTGTTTCTGACACCCTTTAAAGTGAGTGTTCCCTTCTCTCAAAAAAGCAGAATTTTAAAAATGTCCTTCTGTTTGTGACTACTCCCACATAGTAGATCTCACTTTAATAAGGAAATAAATGCCAGGGATATAGCTTAGTGGCACAGCGCCTGCCTGGCAAGCACGAGGTCATGAACTTGATTCTCAGTACCAAAAAAAAAGGAAATAGAACTTCTTAAAAATTATAACTTCCAAATCCCAGCACTCAGGAGGCTGAGGCAGGAGTATTGTTGTAAGTTTGAGGCCAACCTTGGCTAAAAGCTTAAGGCCAGCCTGAACTGCATAGCAAGACCCTGTCTCAAAAAGACAAAAAAAATAAAAAGTAAAAATATTCTTTCACATATATATTGTAAAACTTAGGTAGTTTAGAGACTTAGATATGTTTGTTATGACAGGAGTAGGCTAATGTGCATCATGATATGTAATGATGTCATATCACAAGTAATGATTATGATAGCAGATCAAACTGTTAGGTTGATAAAATAGGAAAGAGTATTTTTCAGAAAGCCAAAACATGACTACATAATTCAGTAAGAAAAAAATCCCAGTCAGGCATGGTGACACATGCTTATAATCCCAGCACTCAGGAGGCCGAGGCAGGAAGATCACCTTGAGTTGGAAGCCAGCCTGGGCTTCAAAGTGAATTCAAGCCCAGCCTACACAGAGTACCTGACTAAAAAAAAAAACAAATGAAAGAAAAAAGAAAGCTATCTCAGACTCTTTGTTTTTTTGAGGTACTGGGGATCGAACTCATGACCTTGCGCTTGCCAGGCAGACACTTACGCCATTGAGCTATATCCCCAGCCTATCTCAGACTCTTTGTTAACTGGTATATGTGATTCCTTGCTCTGTGCATGCCTTTTTTTTTTTTTTTTTTGACCTACTGAATAATCATTAACTATTCTCAATGGTTGTTGTAGGAAACACATAATAATAAACATGGATCCATTTATGAAATAGGATAGGAAAAATACAAACATTGCAGAGTTATGGATAGATTAGTAGGAAAATATCAATGGCTGCTGTAATACATGGTGGTATCTTCAAAGTGGTTTCTCAGGAAGACAGAGATATGCAAGAAGGATCTAACAAGCAGTTACAGCCTAAGGGTTGTCAAAAAATCAAGTGAGCAGTCTGGGGTGAAAGCCATTTTTTGTAGCATTTTCTCTCCAGGGTCCCATCGCATTGGGACCCCACAATCAGTTAGTGTCCTCTCCCCAACTGTCAGCACAGGCAGCAGGAATCCTGCTGCAGACTTCTCCGGAGCTCCACCACAGCCTGTACTGTCAGGGGAAGAATGGCTTCCAATGAGTCTCTGCAAGTATTGTGCAAGGTCCTCCTGGTTTACAGCTTCCGAGCGGCTCTGGGGAGCCCCAGTCCACAGGACCTCTGACTCCTTGGGCTTAGTCTGCATTCTCATGTTCTCTGAGTCCTTGTTCAGCAGCTGCTCCTCTGCTGACTCTGGACCTTTCTGGTTCTCAATGGGAGGAGCAAGAGTGGCCCATTGTATGGCATGTATTCCCAGGGGTTTCTCCATGTTTGAATGATTCACACACGTCCGTGGGTGGGCATCTGCAGTCTGTGCATGGTGGGCCAATTGTGTCATTGTTTCTTTGTGTCATAGTAGTTCTCAATTGAGCAGTGGTGGCCGGCCTCAGGGCCGGCGCACAACAGCACTCGCGGCCACATGGCTCCCCATGAGCCTGGGCCCCTACTTCCAGGTACCTACGAAGCAGGAAGCGAGCCGGCCGGAAGACTGGCGCTCCCCGCCCATGGCTCCCCGTGCACTGGAAGCCCTCCCCGCCTTTTTTACATTAGAAATACTTTATTACGGTGATACGATAGAGGATGGATTGGAAGGTACACTCACCAAAAGTGACCGCTTTCTTTTTCTTGTTTTTAATTTTTATGATAATGTTTATAGTCTGTTTTCATTGTTCTGAAAACTGCTACAATAGACAGGAAAAAATAGGCAGAGAAGTCCAGAGGGACGAGGCCATTGATGGCAAACCTTTTAGAGCTTTCAACGGTACACACAGCCCACTCAGGCATGAGCACCATGGGCTCACCACCACTGGACTAGGCCAACCGTCCAGCAACAGATCAGCAGACCTGGACTACACATGAAAAGCTCTAGGACCATGAGAGGAATAGAGAATTACTGAAAGACAGAAGAGGACATCTGAAGTCATGCAGGCTTGTGAACAGTTCATGGAGAATTAAGGATTTTTGCACTGAAGTCTTAGAAATGTGCAGTAGTAACTGCACAAAGAGCAAATGCCTTGCCCAAAGAGCAGTCTATTAAAATCAAAATATTCCAATATTTCTTAGTCTTTCCAGGCTCACAAACCTGAGAATCTGAAGAAAAACACTGTCCTACCTATGACCACAAAAAAATAGTTTCAAAAGATTCCCTGACAGCCTGATGTTTGTAATCTGTGGACCTTCAGTGACAAACTGTTGTTCTACAGGAACAATGTCACATGCTTCAAAACCAGGGTAAATTAAAAAATTCTGTTTCCTGGAAAACCAAAGCTATAATTACTTGTGGAATAAAATGGTTGCCGTGGATACCAGAGCTTCATGAGAAATGGAGATCAGGACAACATATTTAAGGCATGGATCTGTCAGGTATAATAGGAGATTTGAAGTTTAAAAACAACAACACCCAGGTGCACACCTGTGATCCCAGCACTCAGGAGGCTGAGGCAGGAGGATCACTGTGAGTTCAAGGCCAGCCTGCACTACAAAGTGAATTCAAGGACAGCCTGAACTGCACAGAGAGACCCTGTCTCAAAAAAAAGACCAAAAACAAATAAACGATGTATCAGCAAAAATAGGACCCTCCCAACTGCTTTCAAGGTTGCCTCAAAAATGTTTTCCAAGCAGTATAATAGTTGCTAACCTCTGAGAAACAGAAAGCTACAACAGTTCTCCTTTCAGACATACTTCCCAAATGACTAACTGGATATGGATGTGTTTCCCCTGTATGTGACAAGGGTCTAACAAGGCTGGCCCAGGCCAGGATGGCAGTACAGATGAAAATGCAGCAGCTGGGAAGAAGGCAGCTCAACATGGGAAGGGCTGAGTCCCAATCCACCCCCACAGTAGCAAACTGTTCTGAACACATAAGTAGCCGGAGTCTTCATCTCTAAAGGAAGAGTTATAATTTGTCGCCTCTGCCTATTTTGATTCTATTTTAACGAACAGTTCACTGCTGAGCTAAAGTTCTAGAAACTATCTCTGCCTCATGCAGTGAGTGGGCTCTAAAATGCAATGCAGGCAGGGGATATAGCTCAGCCGCCCAAGTGCCCGCCTGGACATGCAAGGTCCTGAGTTTGATTCCTGATATAATTAATTAATTAATTAATTAATTAATAAAAGGCAAAGCAGCCAACAGAAGGCTTCCAAAACAGGACTCAGCTGAGGAATCTGAAATTATGCCATATTCAGAGCAAGACTCAATTACAGTGCAATCACATGAACATGCTGTCTTTTCTCTCTTAACTCAAGGTAAGATATATTTACTCAATGTTAGACAAAATGGAAAATATAATTTTTTTTTGGAAAATATAATTTTTAGAAAATAAATAAGCTAAAAAAAAAATAAGCTTACTTCTTCAGCTGTTTCAGAAGGTTCTTCAGGTAAGTCAGAAACCTAAAAAATATAAATATTGGTGGAAGGAATATAAACATGCTCAAGAAACCTTTAAAAATAAAAAATAAATAATAATAATGACTGTAATGAGAAGAGCTCTTACAGTTTACAGTGCAAACGAGAGCTGCGGCTGAGGGTGTAGCTCAGTGGCAGAGCCCTGGACTAGCAGGTGCAAGGCCCTGGGTTCACCACCGCCCCCCCCACCCCAGTGAAGAAAAGGGAGCAAGGGAGGGCAATGAATTCAATAAACATCTTCAGATAAGTAACTCCGTGCTAACACATCCTAAAAACAGGATTTGAGATGACAGCTACCAATCTATGTACTAAGACATGTAAAAATGTACTATTTAAAGAAACAGGAAAAATATTAACCTGAATAAAGTGCAATAAGATCCCACAATGATTTAATACATACATATACACACTTTAATGAATATGATTTTTTCTTTCGCCTCATTGACATTCCTATGGGACTGGGTAGCAGCCATTTGCTTGGGTTGCTTTTATCATTTACTCATGTTTTCCTGTTTCTGTTACTCTACTAGGAAATCAAATGTTGGCCAGGCGTAGTGATGCACACCTGTAATTCCAGCACTCAGGAGGCTGAAGCAGGAGGACTGCTACGAATTTGAGTCCAGCCTGGCTACAAAGTAGGTTCAAGGCCAGCCTGAACTGCATAGTGAAACCCTGTCTCAAAGAGACAAAAAAAAAAAAAGAAAGAAATCGAACATTGAGACCATTTCCTCTCATAAAATTAATCCTGGCTACAAAGTAGGTTCAAGGCCAGCCTGAACTGCATAGTGAAACCCTGTCTCAAAGAGACAAAAAAAAAAAAAAAAAAAAGAAAGAAAGAAAGAAAGAAATCGAACATTGAGACCATTTCCTCTCATAAAATTAATTCTTATTGTTACTAAGAGCTTTACTACCTGGGACCCTTCTTTTATTTTTTAATACCACAGACTCCATTCTTCCACTATTCTAACAAACACTACTTTCATTTACAAAATAATCCATCTGTTTTCCATTGGTATCAAGAGTACACAACTGTCAACCAGAATTTAGCATCAGTATGAGGATTTTTAATAAAAAAAAAATTTCAAATTTTTGCAGCATGATGGCTCATGCTTGTAATCCCAGCACTTGACAGGCTGAGGCAGGAGGACTGCTGTCAGTTCAAGGCCAGCCTGAGCTACACAATACATTTAAGGCCAGACTGAAGTACAAAGCAAGACCCTGTGTAAAAAAAGAAAGAAAGAAATTCAAATTTTTAATTAGTCCATATAGTTCATTAGATCCCTTTGAAATGACAGTAAAGGCTGGGCATGGAGGTATATGCCTATAATCCCAGCTCTCAGGAGGCTGAGGCAGGAGAACCATTGTGAGTTCAAGACCAGCCTGGCCTACAAAGTGAGCTCAAGGCCAGCCTGAACTGCACAGTGAGACCCTGTCTCAAAAAGACAAAAAAAAAATTTTAAACAATTTTAAAAAAGGAAATGACAGTAAAATTCAATTACCTGACTCCTCCCTTCAAGCTCTACTGCAGAACTAGGAAACCTCAGACTGGAAAGCAATACACTATACTAGAAACAACTTTCAGAACTTCCCACAGCTTTCCCTAAGTAAGTAAAAATAGTTTTCTTATTTTTAACCTTTTTTTAGCTCCAAATCAGAACCAACCAAAAGATTAAAGATTTGGGGGGGAAAAAAAAAAACCAGGAGTAATACACCTGAGCACTACTTCCAAGCAATAAGATTGCAAACCCATTTCCCCTTGAGGGCCAGTGAGCAAAATTATACACTTAAGTTAATATGGGTTGAGGACCCCTAATCCCAAATCTGAGATGCTCTCAAATCTGAAACGTTTTAAGGACCAAGCTGATGGCACAGGTGAAAATTCTACACGATGAAACTACAAAATTATTTCAAAACACTGCATAAAAGGAATACTCAACCTGTGGTAGGTATTAGCCAAATGTGGCATAATGTCTTAAATTACCCAATGGAAATGTTCCCCTCAATAAGCATGGCATCTTTCATTTCCACATAATCAAATTACTTCCTTAAGAACTATTAAAAAAAATTAAAAAAACTATTCCCAGGTCAGAGATATAAAGCTCAGTGGCATAAGTGCCTGCCTGGCAAGCGCAAGGTCCTGAGTTTGATTCCCAGTACAAAAAAAAAAAAAAAAAAAATTCCCTCAAGCCACTTTTTTTTGTCTGTTTGTTTGTTTTTCTGTTTTTCATCCAGTACCAGGAATCGAACTCATGACCTTGCACTTGCCAGGCAGGAGCTTTGCTGCTGAGCTAAATCCCCAGCCCCAAGCCACTGTAATTTGACTTATAGCTTTCCTCTAAAGTTTGGTTCAAGACCTTAATATGCAGCATTAAAAAATAGTAGTAGTGTTAACAGTAGTGTTAAAAAAGCCGAGTGGTTCATAGTGAAGAGGGTCGCTTTCTCAGGTGGTAAGGAGACCTCGTCTTCCCCCAGCAAACCATCTCGCCTAGACAGCATGGACACAACACAGTGAACTGGCGTTTGCAACCTCCTTCTGCAGGGGCTGGTCAGCAGGCGGCGGAACTCTGGTGACAGGATTAGGCAAGTTTCGTCTCTTAGCGGCTTCTCTGGCTGATGTTTCAGAAGGTGTCTGGCTCGCATTTTCAAGTACCAAATCTTCATCACCCTGGTCAAAAACAGCAGAAAATTTCTTTTCATCAGTTTTATTCTATACACAATGGTTATTTGTTTTACTGTGATGGCATTTCAATTAAAAAAAGTGTTCAGTCATCATTAGACCCCCCAAAATTAAAGCATTCTCTCCTTGGACTTTTACATGGGGTTTAACACCTTGCAGAAAGTACCGTAAGCTTATCCAGTTCTGGGGTCTCCTCTGTTAGACAAGAGGCTGATGGGACACTTCCCATCTCTGATCAGCCCCTAAGCTTCTCAGGAGGATGAGAGAAAGAAAAAAGCCTGAATGACAGCCTAAAGGAAGCAAGGCATTACTAGGGGGTATGTTTCCAAAAGCTGTGAAAATAAAACACATGTCAAACCCTATGTCTTCATATGTGACCATGCAAAATCTCCACAGCTGAATGTGGCCTTGTACCTCATTATATGTAAACATAGTCTAGTTTTCAAATTCAAACTCTGATCTTCCATTTTAACTAATCATGCTAGGAGACAAACTTTTTTCTCAGAAATTACAGAGAACTGTTTTTTGGAGGGGGGTTGTTTTTGTTTTTGTTTTTGAGACGGTGTCTCACTATATAGTCCATACTGGCCTCAAATTTGCAATCTCCCTGCCTCAGCTTCCTGTGTGCTGGGATTACAGTCACGCGCTACCATATCCTGCTAAGGTTACTCTTTATTCATATTATCCACTAAAATTTTTCCTTTAGCAAAATTAATTTACTTAAATGTCAAATTTTCAAACATACTTACTCGCTTAGTACCTCCTTCCACAACAATTACTCTTCTAAGAGAAAAAGTTTTTTTTATCAGACTACAATGTTCACCATTGGTGGCGGGGCCAATCCCTCTTTACCCTAAAAAAATCTGGCGGCAGAAGCACGGGGAATGGGAATCAAAGATCTTAATGCTAAAAACTTCACTTTCCGGGTCCAGCCCAGACTGCTCCATGCAAACTCCAGGGCTGGTACCGATTCTCTGACACTGTGCTTCAGCTCTGATTCTCACGCTCTCTGATAGCTTACTAGCAGCTGACCTGCCCATAGCTTCTATTTTCTCCACTAATCACGTTAAAATATGTACCAGTAGTACCCTGAAGACAGACTAAACAGGAGGGGCAGAATGCCTAATTCACCTTGACAAGGCTAAAGTCAACCTAGCAAGCCCGGGTGGTGGTGTGCACCTGTCACTGCAGCTGACCTGAGGGGGCCACTTAAGCCCAAGAGGTAAGACCAGCCTGAACAATACAGTGAGCCCTGTCTCCAAAAAAACAAAGGTCAACCTACAGTGTCTATCAACCACAAAACTAAACAGAAGGCAGACTCCAGAGTGAAATCATAAGCCAGGCAAGGTGGTGCGCAGCACTCAGGAGGCCGAGGCAGGACGGTCACTATTGTAGGGGGCAATGAATCTTAGCATACTATTTTAGATAAAATAGTTTGGTAAAAGCCTGCATGGTGCCTCGGGAAGCCTCCCGGGACAGTGCAAGAGCTAATTCCCCAGATCAACACTGCCCAGGAATGTCTCCCCAAGATAAGGGGGCGCCTAGGCCTAGGTGACCCTCTGTGACCCTGCCTGGGCAGTTCCGTCTCCCGGCCCTAGGTAAACACTGTAACCTTAAAGGAATGCATAGGGTGTAAAAAAGGAGATAATGGGGGGAAACATCTATCACGGTTTGACATGCGACCTGCAACTGACCTGGAGTCCAACAGGATGAGAGAAACACCATATGCCCACCGGGGTCAGAGAATGTAACACCCCAATCTGTTGTCAATGGAAACCAAAATGTATATAAGGGGAAGCAAAGTTAGCCATGGGCCCGCTTCCAGATTGGCAAAGGAAGTGAGGGTGGCTAGCCTCAAATTAAACTCTGATTTTGTTCTCACTGGCGATTGGCGTCTCTTGTGGAATGTTTGGGACAAACGGGAATTTTCTGCCGTAACACTGAGTTCAAAGACAACTGGACTACAAAGTGAATTCAAGGTCAGCCTAAACCATAGTGAGACCTTGTCTCAAAACCCCCTCAACAAGTGAAATCACTACATAGAGCAGCTGTATTTTCTGTTGCTCATCTCTCACATTAATTTTACTCCCTACAGCTTACTATAAGAACCCTGTTTATCTTTACTAGATCATTTTCTTTACAAAATAGTGAGATGCAGTGTAAACAAAAAGCCAATTACCAAAAACCAAAGATGTTTTTGGAACAGAAATTGGTTTTACACATAAGATCTGTGGCCAGTTACTTTAACATGTCTATGAATACCCTTTTTCCTATGAAAACTTAAAATTATAAACATATTAGTTAATGACAAAATTTGTTTCCAATGTCAGGGGGAAAAAAATAAAGGCTAACTTGGTTTGAAAAACAAAACCAAACATAATGTGAGCTTAATACCTTGGATATCTAAATTGAGGAAATATCAAAATTTCCTTAAAACTGTTTCTTTACAGTTTTCTTGAAGTCTGCCTCATGATAGAACTTTTCTAAGATACACGCTCTTCGGGCACCAAAAACTACTTAACTACTTGACACATGAGCATGCTGAATAAAAACTGACATATAATCATTATAAACAAAGACTCCTAAAAATCAGACTGTAATGTTTAACATCATTTTCAATTTCTAAAAAATCAATAAAAGAAAACATAAGTAACAGTAGGATTCAAAATATAATAGAATATTTTCTAACCCCAAGTTTGTGACCGCTGGTTAACTTCCAGGTTTCACCTGTCATTTGATAAAAGCGTTCTTCCAGTTTTTTTAATTTCATTTCCTGGCGAGGTTTTAAAATGTCCTCTGTGTATCTACCGGCCTGTTCAAGAAAACAAAGAACATGTTGTTACCATACATTAATGTTCCTAAAAAATTCACATTGTCAGCTGGGTGTGGTGGTGCAAACCAGTAATCCCATCACTCTGGAGGCTGAGGCAGGAGGATTGCCATGAGTTAAAACCAACTTCAGTTACACAGTTCAAGTCTTAAAAAACCAAAAAGAAAAAAGAAAAATTCACATTGTCTATAAAGTTGTAATTAAAAACCAGGTTGGAAATTGTTTTTACACTACATAACTTTAGCCAATAAAACATCATCCCCCATTTTTGCATTACTTTTAAAGAATCCTCATTTCTAAATACAAACAAATACAAATAATTAAAAACAAAGAAATGTTCTATAACATGAACAATAGAAGAAAATCAAAAATAAAAAGAAATAAATGTTCTATACCTATGCTTACATGGCAGTATGCCTATGTTTTATTTGTTTGGGGTCTTTGGGGGGTTGCTTTGTTTTGTTCTGTTTTTTGAGACAGGGTCTTACTATATATTCCAGGCTAGCCTTGAACTCATGGCAAACCTCCTGCCTCAGCCTCCATGTGCTGGGATTACAGGTGTGCACCACCAGGCCAGCCTATGTATTCTTTAACTTTTCAGTGCAAGAGATGCAGGGGAAACTATATTCCCCCTGGCGCACCTTAGAGTGAATCCCACCAACAGACATCCTGTCAGGCTCTGCCCACAGACATAAAATTGCCAACTAACTTTATTTTGCTTTTTCTTTTTTATTGCAGTATAACTCATAAACAGTAAAGAACACAAATCTTATGTGGGGCTTTTTGGATAAAATTTTGCAAATGCATACACTTGTCTGATTACCAGTTCGCTTTCTAGTGTATCAATTTTAAATATCGAAAGAGCTGAGCCAAGGATTATCAGATGATGAAGGAATGCCTCCAATATGAAAAACAGACTAAAATAAACAAAAAAAAGGGGACCTTGGGCTGGGGATATAGTTCAGTGGCATAAGCGCCTGCCTGGCAAGTGCAAGGTTGTGAGTTTGATCCCTGGTACCGCAAAAAAAAAAAAGGGAGGGGACCTTGAAAAAATAAGAAAGGATGCTGGAAGCAGAAAAACATACTAAAATAAACAATTTTTTCTCACAAGTTGTCTGCTCTCATTCTTCTCTTCTTCCTCATCTTCTAAGACATCAAAACATAAAAGTTTTTTAATGTACACATATCAGTAAGTCAGAAAACACTACATGAAATGAGAATAGGACTGATACAGGAGAAATATAACTTCTGACCTGCTTGATGTCAAGTGTGCCGAGTTCGTGACCCCCCATCATCAAGGAGTGAGGACATGCACCAAAGGAAGAAGTTTACAAGTTTTACTGGAAATGAGGGTATAGCTCCTCATTTCCAGGAGGGGTTCTGAATGGGGTGATTATCAAGGCCCTACATCACAGGTAATTTATACAGCAGTGTCACAATGTGCATACATGGGTCAGACTACAATTAATCTATAGGATTACAAGCACAATTGCTTAGCTAACACTGATCAAATAGGAAAACAAATCATGTACCAAGGGTAAATGGAAAGAACAAAGGTATTTTGGGGATGGGATGGGTCCAGACATCTGGTCACCCACCTGGGCATCTGACACCCATCAGGACTTCTCGACCAAGTTTTGCTAACTACAGTATAATTTCAAGTTACTATTTATCCCTTGGGAAGGTATGTAGGCCTGGTCATTGTATCTTTATTTTGAGGCCTGGCCTTCAGATGCGCCCCCAGCCACAATTCTGATATCTTTATTTTTGTGCTGACTTCTTGAGAGCCCAGGCCCTCCCTGACTTTATATTAATTTCTATCTAATGTAGCTGTCTATAATAGGATGTTATAAAAAAGGGAAAATGAGAAAGTAGTCTTGGAAATTAACATTATAAAAGCTGAAATAATCAACTGAAATTCCCTAGAACCACTAAGATGGACAACAGATAAGCAGATGAAACAACTGGGGTCAATCTCTTAATCTCAAATTCACCTAAAGAGGGGTTCTAAAAGAAAAGGATAGAGAAAATATTCAGGACGTAATACAAGAAAATTTCACGAAACTAAAAGACATGTCTACATATGTAGCAACTTAATTTCTTGCACAAAAAAATGAACAAAGCCCCATATCAAATGACATCACAAGCCGGGCGTGGTGGCACACGCCTGTAATCCCAGCACTTGGGAGGCTGAGACAGGAGGATCATTCCAAGTTCGAGGCCAACCTGGGCTATAAAGTGAGCTCAAGGGCAGCCTGAACTGCATAGCGAGACCCTGTCTCAAAAAGACCAAAAAAAAACCCCAAAAAACCAAATGACATCACAGCATGAGACACAATGACAGACAACTATAATCCCAGCACTTTGGAGGGTGAGGCAGGAGGATTATTGTGAATTCAAGGCCAGCCTGGGCTACATAGTGAATTTGGGACCAACCTAAATTATAGTGTGAGGCCCTGTTTCTCCCTCTCCCCCTCTCTCTCATATACACACACTAAATACATAAATACATACATACATATATAATATATACAGTATATATATACCTTTAACTTAATGTATTATTAGGCACATGTCCACACAAGATGAGCAATTATGCTTTACCTTTTCACTCTGTGCTTCTTGTTGTTTTTTTCTTACAAGTTGTCTTCTCTTATTCTCTTCTTCTTCATCTTCTGAGACATCAAGACAAGTGTTTTTTAATTTATACATACCAGTAAGTCAAATGGTATATTCTCTAAAGATAGTCTGTAGGTTTTAATATTTTGGAAGAGACAAAACAGCCTTCAAAAAAGGTTGGTTTTTTTTTAAGTAATGAAAATAAAGTACATGCAAAGAGTTGAAACAGAAATCTGCACATGAAATCTACAGCAAAGTTTATAACAGACTCTGTTCTTAAAAAAAATTCTCTGAAAGGTGTTATTATATATAACAGTATTGCTAAGGAGGCTTCCAGGATATTCTGGTGATGTCATTGGATTTGTGAGTTCTTTGACTCATGAAAGATGGAAATAGACACAGCTAACAGTAATAGTGAAGAGTTTATGAGAACCACAGATATATAGCAGCGGGCTGCCCCTTACAAAAGCCAAGGGAAGAGCAGATCGCAGGCTACTGCTCAGACAGAGAAGCCCTACTGTTGGAGTACCATGAGATTAGAAGTTTTTTCTATAAAAAGCATTAGCACATGTATAAATCAGAGTAGCAGTAGCATAATGTATATGCACAAGCATAAAGCCTAGCAGCATGTAGTGCCCCCTTGGAGCATCTCTTTTAGCATGTGAATGAGTCTTGGTTACTTGTGGTAGGTCTTTGGGGCAAAACTGACTCATGCTGGCAAAAAGCCCTGCTGTTTTTATCATAGGTGAGGTAAGGCTGGTGCAGTGGTTGTTCACCTCTTCTTCTGGACACCAGCCATCACAGCCCTATTTTTCTTGCCTCAACAGGGCAGCAGCAGGTTTAGGGTGCAGCATGGAAAGCCGTGACTGCACACAAAGTACAGAGCAGATGAGCTGCGGCATAGCGAGTGCCATTCTATTGAAACTGGATGTGACCGTAAAAGCAGCAGAGTCCTCAAAGTCAGTGTCCTTTCAACTCCTAAAATGACTGAACCAGTATTAGCTGACTACACACTGGATGTTACCAGGAAGGATTTCTGTTGTGTATTCTGTTCTGTTCTTTCTTATTCTTAGTTTAACAAATTTCATTTTTAAGTACATAGCTTGATTCTTAAAACATTTAAAGAATAATTTTCTAACAGTGCAGTAATAATATTTGAAATGGCTTATAAATATTAACAGTGAATCAGAAACTCTACTTCCTTGAGGACTGATCCACCTTTTAGGAAAGCACATCTGTCAAACTGCCTGACTCCTTAAAAAGGAGCATTCCCTTCTGCCAACAGCTTTACCCCTGTGATGGCAGTTATTTCTTTAGGTTATAAAACAAATGTTAGGACAACAGAGTACATCAGGAAACCAGAAGGCCCAGTCTGATCTCTAACTTGCTATTTGGTCAGTCAGATTCACTGATCTTAAGACCCCTTCCACACTGACTCAAGGATGTACTTTTAAAATAAATCAATAGCAAAGTATTACTTCTTCTACTTTTTTCTTCTACTTTTGTTCTTCATGTGTGTCTACATGCACACTACAAATCAAACCCAAGGCTTTGCACAAGTGAGGCAAGTACTCTACCACTGAGCTCCACGCCCACCCCGAAGGATAATCAGTAAGCCCTATACACTGTTTCTGAACCTCTGATGCAGAATAAAACTTAAAATGAGAATGAAAACTTTTTAAAGATTATTGTAGATATAATTACTCTTTGGAAAAAAGTTTACAAACCATAGATATCACATAGCAGTTTAAGTGATACAACTACACAATGGAAAATTAGGTAATTTACAATGCAACAACTCAAAAATGATAGTTTCAGAAGGATATAAGGGCTGGGGATACAGCTCAGTGGCACAGCACCTGCCTGGCAAGCACGAGGTCGTGAGTTCAATTCCTGGTACCAATAAATAAACAAATAGGGCTACAGCTCAGTGGTAGAGCAATTGCATGGCATGTGTGAGGCCCTGGCTTAATGCTCAATAGTGAGTTGGGGGTATAGCCCAGTGGCACAAGCTTCTGCCTGGCAAGCACAAGGTCCTGAGTTCGATTCCTGATACCAAAAAAATTTTTTTAAAAAAAGGATATATAAGGGAAGTATACAGTTTCTGATAAAAAATGTTGAGATTTACAGTCCATTCAAAATAATCATCCCCAGAGTTATAAATGATCATGCCCCTTAAAACTATGCATCATAAATTAACGGTTATCACCATGCAAAACTGTAGAATAAAAGAAATGGGAGTAGAAAAGTTTAAAGGGAGGCATAAATAATAAACTCACCTTTCAGATAAACTTGGGAAGGTTTGAAGGAGTTACGCAATGAGGTAGTCACGGAAATAATTAACGTAAGAAGAGCAAGCAGTAAGAAAATCCGGCCACACAGCAAAATGAAATCTTTAATTCCTTACAGAGGAAAAAGAATAAAATTAAAAACAATTTTTTGATATTAATAAGTTGTGATAATTATTTGTACTAAAAATGTACAGTAAGAGTTATGTAACTGTCCTACGATTTTATATATTCTCCTTTAGATGCTAAAATTCATAATGGTTATCATTACCAGAACAAACTTCCAGAAAATAATTCTAGAATAAACATCTTCTGTTTTAGGAATATAGTTATAATTACAGTGTTCAGCTACATTATAAAGGGTAGGGCAGCCAGCCATGGTGGGGAACATCTGTAATTCCAGAGCTCTGGGAAGCTGAGGAAGGAGGAAAGCAAGTTTTGAATCCTCCCTTGATACAGAGACTTATCAAGACTGTGTCTCAAAATAAAAAATAAAGGACCGGGAGGTAGCTTAGTGTGAAGGCCCTGGGTTCAATCTCCAGCATTAATCAATAAACAGGCAAATAAAATGTCAATAAAGCGTAAGTTCTGGTTTCCTTTCTACCCACAAAGGAGGGAAAAATTTATATAATTTAAAATATGTAGAGCACCTGCTTTCTGTGACACAATTTGCTAAATGCTAAGGGAAGACAAAGTTGGGTAAAATGGTTTCTATCTCTGGGAGTTTTGGGTCTTGCTTTGTTTTTTAATTTTCTAAAGGTTCTTGGCAGACATATGAAAAAACCGTATTAACAATGTGATTAGAGACAATAGTCAATTAAACATAAAAGAAGGAACAAGAAAAACTTAACAGAGTTAAATGCTTCTTTTTCTTCTTCTTTTTTTTTTTTTTGGTTTCTTGTTTTGTTTTTGAGACCGGATCTGGCTATGTAGCCTAGGCTGGCCTGGAACTCTGGCAATCCTCCTGCCTCCGCAACCCCCAAGTGCTGGGATTACAGGCACGTGCTACCCTGCCCGGGGCAATGCTTTATTTTAAACTGAACACATATATGTTAGCCTTAAAAAAAAAAAGTAAACTTTAAAGTAGAAATTTCTTGCTGGCTTTAAACTCACTGTGTAAACAGGGCATGGTGGCACATACCAGCACTCAGGAGGCCGAGGCAGAAGGATTCTTGCAAGTTCAAAGCTAGCCTGGGCTACAAAGTGAGCTCAAGGCCAGCCTGAACTACATAGCAGGACCCTGTCTCAAAAGGACAAAAAGACCAAAAAAGAAAGAAGAAATTTCTTTTTAATCACAGCTCCTCTAACTTTTGACAACATTAACTATTGATTCAGGTGTTATCCAATACAATATATAATTGAATCTAGGGTAACTCTGGCCATTACAAAAGCAATTCAACACCTAGAGTACTGGAACACAGAGAAACCACTGAGCTATGGCATGTATGCTCCATGATACTGCTTTCTGCACTAACAAGCAATCTGCAAGTATCACATGGGAATATAAAGGAACCAGATTTGTGTATACATCTTTCAAGTAAAAAATATTTAAATTAAGGTTTCAGGGGCATTCTTAAGGAGGGTGGGTAGCTACGTTCTACAGCCTATAACCAGGGCACTTTGAAGGGTAACAAATGTGAAGAACCAGCATTAAATATTTAATTTCAGTACATATAAAATGAATTGGAGGGGCCTGGACATGTGGCTCAGTGGTAGAGCGCAGGCGTAGCATACTCGAGGCTCTTGGTTTGACTCCCAGCATGGCCATGAAGGCTTTTACACAACAGCAAAAAAAATGGATCATTTTTTCAATACTGTATGCCTAAAAAGACAGCAAGGGACTGAACAGTTCTGTTTCCACCCCTGCATCATCCCTCAGATGCCAAATGGCAGCCCCTAAGAATATTAGTATCCAGCCAGGCCTAGTGACCATGCCTGTAACCCTAGCACTCGGGAAGCTGAGGCATGAGGATCACTGTGAGTTTGAGGCCACCCTGGGCTACATAGTGAGTTCAAGACCAGCCTGAACTTGCAAGACCTTGTCTCAAAAAACAAAAAAGAAACTACAGGAAACAACCATAGTTAAAGCTGTGCGTGGTGATGCACGCCTGTAATCCCAGCACTCAGGAGGCTGAGGCAGGAGGATCATTGAGAGTTCGAGACCAACCTGGGCTACAAAGTGAGCTCAAGGCCAGCCTGAACTGCATAGAGAGACTCTGTCTCAAAAAGACAAAAAAAGAAAACAAAAGGAAACAACCATAGTTCACAACAAAGATTTCTAGAAGAAAATGTTAAGTAAAAATGTCAAAGAATTAAGAAATGCTGTCAGGAGCCTATTTATATTTCCTACAACCTTGGCCTAGTGTTATTATTAGACTTTGCAGACAGGCATGGTGGCACCTGTCTCTAATTACAATATGCGGGAGGCTGACAGGATGGACAGTTCAAGCCTAGCCTAGACTACATAAACAAGACCGTATCTCAAAAAATAAGTAAGTGGAACATGGTGCTAAGTTCTGGGAATACAAAAACACATTAGAGGTGGTCTCTAGCCTCAAGAAGTGCATTTCCCTGAAGCCAGAGCTGACTGAGGAGCACAACTCCTACAGCTCTTAAGTGATGACCTTCTCACTGACTAGTGACTGGAAAAGTACGATGAAGTAGAAGGTTCTGAATAAGCAGATAAGGGTGGGTGCTGTAAAGGCAAGGCAGCAGGTGAATTCTGCACTAAGTGTGAGCTTAACTTTTTCATTTATCATTTTGCCAAAAGTCTTGTTATGTCTCAACATAGCTTGAGTCAGTAGGAGAGTTGTAAATTTTTTTAAAAGTATCTTATTTCAAACAACAGTTCTGTCCACCTGACTCCTTAGAGGTGGGGAGGATGGAGACAGAAAAGAGCTAGGAGGGTTTTTTCTTTTTTTTCTTAATGGTATTTTGAGAAAAAAAATTGCTAAATTTCCCAACTGGGCTCCTCCTGTCTGAGCCTTCCTGAGTGCTGGCATACACCACTGTACCCACCTTTATCATGATCTTTACGTTAGAACTGAGCTTAAGGAGGAAGACAGACATATAAACTTATCACTAATTATGTCCAAAAATCAACTCCTGATTTTCCACACCCGTTCTCCTTTTAATTTCCCGTTACCACTGGCCCTACCAGCAATCTACGGTTGTTCAACCCCCTCCCATCCCTCACCCAAAACATCAAGCCATCAAAAAAGCCCGATCTGGTGCTCATTTCATCTACTGTTATCATCCTAATCCAAGCCATCCCGCTATTTACCTACTTCAGATTCCTAGCTTGCCTCATTGCCTTCCACTGGTTTCCTTCCAAAACATTCTCCACAGAACCTAGAGTGACCTTTTTAAAAGGTCAAGGAAATCATTTGTCCTCCCTAGAGCCTCAGTTCCCTCAACTATAGAATGGGGATTTTAGTAGTACCTATCCCTAGTGGGTTGTGCTGTAATCCCAGCCATTTGGAAGGCTGAGGCAAGATCACGAATTCGAACCCATCCTGAGCAATTCTGCAAGTTAGCGAGACTCTGTCTCAAAATTTAAAAGGGCTGGGGATGCAGGTCAGTATGAAAGTCCTGGGGTCAAAATTTACAAACTCCTTACAGTTTTCGAGTACATTAAATGAAATAATGGTCAGCATTTAATGTTTGACTTATAGAGGGGTTCGGGGAATGTTATTATCTTGAGCCTCTTTCCCACTCCTTGATCCAGCCACAATGGCCTCCATCCTTTCGCTCCCACGTGTCACAGTCCTCTTGCTGGCATACTCCCCAAGTCCCGCAGTCCTTCCTTCTCTCAACTTTATTTCCTTCTGAGCACGTATTGAAGCTTGAAAACACAGTACTGTCTACGACTGTCCCTGCACTCCTTGCCTGTGTCCCCTTCCACTCAACATTTGGCCAGATCGCCAAGAAACTTTTTCCGCCAAACCGAGCCGGATCCGGAAGAGGGAGGCGGCGCGCTGCAGTCTGGGAACTGTAGTTCCCGTTGCCTCGGCCGCGGAGGAGATAATTCTATGCGACATCCGTGTGAAAAATGTCCCAGCTGTGAGCACTAGGGGGACAAAATTGAAGAGTTACCTATTTCTGGGATCCCACGCTGGAGTTCCAGGCACAAGAGGGGGAGAGCAGAAAGCAAGCAGAAACCAACGACCACACGGGACGCCATGGCAGCGGAAGCGCCCGTTCAGGCAGAGCCCGCCCCTTCCGGGCAGACACTGGAGAGGGTGGGGTGGAGCGCGTCCTGCGGAAGGAATTTGGGCAGGGAACACGCCCGGCCCACCTGAGATGATCAGTGGTCGGTTTGAGATAAGCCCCTCAGTTTTTGAATGCGCAGACTGTCTCACAAGAAAGACAGGTCACCTCTGTCACATGATGTCCAGAGAACCGCAGATTCTCAGAGCCGTTGATTTTTGGAGGCCAGGCGGGCTGTCGAGCCAACTTTGCGGAAAGAAAATGAAATTAACTGAAGGCCACGTGCTGGGGTAACTGACGCTGAGCAGAAGCAGCCAGGTCCCCTGGCCTGCGGCAGTAAAGGTTGATTGCTTTAGAGCCTAGTTTACTAAGCACCTTTCTTTATCTCCATGATGGTTCCTGTAGGAAGACACCTCAAAAGTGAAGCCTGAAACTAAATAGCTGCCGCCCCCACATCCTGTTAGTGCCAGATACTGTAGACCTGCTACCCCTTGTTGCTCTCCTGTTCAGTTTTGCCCACACGTGCTATTGTTAATGACTTAGCCTTGGCCTCACAATTCTATGACTTCATTGCCATCCCCTGACTCAGTCTGTGGCGCTTCTCCCAGTCTGCAACTCAGCTAAGTGATCAAGGTCCTCACGACCCACACAATTTCGTACTTTGAAATCAATTAAATTGAAGTAACGTTTATCTAGTAACAACTTGCCTGGTACTGTAAAATTCCTAGAGCTTCAAATATGTAAACGTTATTAAAATTGTCCTCAACAAACTCAGCTAAGTGGGAAAGACACCCTGTAAACAGACAAATACAATACAGTGCTTGAGTCCTGTGATGGGGCTATGCCCAGGGTGCTACAGAAGCAGCTTGGGGAAGCATTTCCTGAGGAAATGCTGAGTGACGTGGGTTGTACAGGTAGAGATTTGGGTGGCAGGATCTGAAGAGTGGGATTTCAAGTTTAGGAACTACCAGTACTTAAAATATTGCTGCATTTTTAGAGCTTCAGTAAGAATGCTTAGAGGTAGTTTGGAGCGAGGGTCTCAGAAGACTTTGTATATAGGCTTGAGAGCTTTATCTTCCAAAAGGTACAAACTCTGAGGGCACAATCTCAATAAGGATAAGGTAATTTAAATGGTGAATGTCATATCAAATAATTATATTGACTCAGGCTTCTATTGTCTGTCCAATGTTCATTGTTGCATCTGGGGGAGGAGCACTGCTGTTCTGTTGTCTGGGCACCCCACTGGTATCATAACTTAGCCCCAATAATAAATTACAGGGACAAAGTTTTTTATTTGTAAAGAGGAAAAGGAAGAGGAAAGGAAAGGATAAATAGCTACCCCGATAAGAAAAGATCACGGTAGGAGGCTCTGGTGTAGCAGAAAACGCCCTCCCCCAGCTTCAGTTGCTTAGTTGTCCAGGTAGTAGTTCCTGTTCCAGTTCTGATTGTTCCTGTCTCTTAGAAACAGTTGGTCACTGTGATGCATAGCTGGTCATTATGGTGCATGATGTATAAAACAGTCCCCAACTAACAAGCCATTCTGCTCTGTACTTCCTGCTTGCTTATCCCGTATAATCCCTAGACCACCAGAGATCAGGGCCTGATATTTTGGGAATGACCCCAATCAGTGCCCGTCGACATAAATAAATCTGCCTCCAAATCCTGGGTGTCATTTCAATGTTCCTGCTTGCTGTTTCATCTGGTGCATTGGCTGGGAAGACCAGCCACACAGACCTCTTTGGTCACCGGCTATGACCCTCTTGGATGGAGCAAGGATGTCTCCAGGTCCCGACTGGAAGGCACACCATTGAGATTTCTCAAGTCCCCTCAGAGATCTGAAGGATTCCTGGCTCCCCTTGGAAAGATGGAGGATCCTTGGGCCCTTTGTTTCCAGGTGTTTTTGTAAGGGGGGGGGTGTGAGTGACTATTTCCCTCCCCCTGGAATTTGCCATAACTGGATTGGCTTCCTGGCATCTCAGTCTAACGTCATTTTTTTCCAGGGGTCAGTGTGTAGCTTCTTTCTGTTTCTTGTCCTTGACGTACTTTTTAAGGCCTTATTTTGGGGGTGGGTTGCTGGTTGGCAAGGGGGTGCCTTATTTTTGGTTAGCTTAGAGTTATTAAGGGGGCATGTGGATATCTATTGTACTCAATAATGACCCTAGAGTGAATAATATAGTGACTCTCCAGTGAATACACATGTGTATGTATATATATACATAAATGTATGTTAGTGCATAGGTGTGAGTGCATACTTCCTTGAAGTTAGTCAGCCTTCCCCTTTGCTCTCCCTATATTTTATTGGAGGTGGAGGCGGCTTATCATTTGTGCACCTGGCTTTCTGTCTGTGTCGTGTCTGTCCGCTCTTTTTCCGGTCTTTAGTGCAAGTCCTAAGGTCATTTGGTGCCTTTCCTTACCTGTTTCTTTTCTTTTTTTTCTCTTTTCTTTTCTTTCCCTGTCTTTAACTTGCTTCTCAGGAGAATCTCTCTAGTAAAGTTTATTTTTAACTCCTAATGAAGATTAGCTAGAAGACCTAAGGAAGCCTCTGTTTTATTTCCTCATTTACAGACCTCTGTCCCTATATTCATCATGCCTAAGGACAGGAAAGGAAATTCTATACTTCTTCCTGGCTTCATTTTGGTATGTTTTCCTTCTTTTCTAATTTTTTTTTCCTTCTTTCCTGGTTTCCTATATTACCTAATCTACTGGTGACACCCATGAAACTTTGGACCATAAAACAGAAGTTTTCAAATACTACAGATTTGTTTACTCTGGCTTGTAACAGAGTGAATCACCATTTCTCAAATCTTGACTATAAATTTCCTTCACTACAATTGCCAGCTCTCCACTATCACACAAAAGACCTGTTCATTAAATAAGCCAAATTTCTTACTGCACTAAAAGAGACTACTACTTTGGCTTTTTTTTTTTTTTTTTTTTTTTTTTGAGACAGGGTCTCACTAGGCAGTTCAGGCTGGCCTTGAGCTCACTTTGTAACTAACCCAGGCTGGG